TATTTTTTTAATCTTATTCATTCATTTATTTTGTCTCTCTAAAAACAAAAACAAAGCTTTTCAAGGGGCTTTTTTTTTTCTTGAAAAGTAACTATTTCTGACAAAAGCAAAAAGTAACAGCATTTTTGCACAACCAGCAGGAGGCGATGAGATCTTCTCTCAGCTGAGAGCAGACTGTCAAAGCTGGAATGCTGCTTACTCCTTCATACATCAATATGGGAATAAAAATATCTTACATTGCGGGGGTTTTTTCAAGTCTGGAAAACCAATTAAAAATGTTCCACCATGTAAGCTAACTGAGCAAAGGCATGACCTGTGTATTAGATAGGCAAACTTTGGGTTTGGGAATTCCTACATTGGTAAATCCAACACATAAAGCTGAATATGGAATGTGGTTTAAAAGGATATGTGGAGGATGGACACAATGGTAAAATAATAACTGGCATGTAAATATTTTAATAAAACCATTAAAATAAATAAAAGCACCAGACACTGCCTCTTGAAACAGTTTTAAGCAGACACATTTTCTGTTCTTTCATTTCTGGCTACAAGTAAAAGGGAGGAGCCACTTTTAGGCTCTTATTGAAATCTCTGCTGGACAATAACTTCATCCACGTTTTGCATTTCATTCCCCCATAAAAGTATCAGTGGGATTCTGCAATTTCCTTTCCTAGTGTGGCTCAGTGGATGAGAGCCAACAAGACCTCACTCATTGTTTGGCCTAGCCAAAGAACCTGGCACATCCTCCAGGCTAGGAAGAGCTCCATCAGCACTTGCCTTGTTTCCAATCATTTTGCATAAGAGCCTTGCCCTATCCAAGGGCAGAGCTTTGGACTGAAAGTAGAGGAAGACGCTCTTTCTCAAATCACTAGCAGAGGTGTAGGGTGCAGAGGAGCTGAAGTGGAAAGCACCACCTAAGGCTGTTCATCTCAGCCAAAGCATCTGGTTCCTGCCTCACCCACAGCTGTCAGTATCCCAAGTCTGTTATCCTTCCTTGGCATCTGATTTGGTGAGAGGAGGAAAAATCTTACCTCCTCCGAATAAAACTCTTTATAATTTTGTATCATTTGGATCATTGCAATATGGTTTTCCCTGCACTCCTCCAAAAGCTTACAATAAGACCCTTCAGGGTTAAATTAGGATTAGTGGAGGGGAAAATAGATGGCTAGGAAAAGGAAGTTTGCAGGAAGGCAGGAAGGGGTTGAGAATCCAAAAAGATAAAAATGTGCAGGGGAAGGATCACCTGGTTGTAGGGATTCCAGAAGCGGATAGATCGACTGCATCAGTTCTGCCTTCCGCCTGGCTTGTTAATTGTTCTGGTGGGTGTGGGGGGGGGGATCTCTAGGGAGGAAGTTGCTGAAAAATCCTCAGGAATATCGAGGTCCAAGTTATCGAATGCGGGGCGCAGGCTGAAGCCTCCGCCTCCCGCGGCAGAAACCGCTAGACTCGAGATGAGCCGCTTCTCGGCTTCCCGGAGGGAGAAGTGGTAGACGGGGCTGAATTTTCAGCTTCTGAAAAGCAGACCCAAAGATGCTTTTTCACAGGGCAACTGGACTTCCTTGTTTTTCTTTGAAGACGTTTCGCTTCTCATCCAAGAAGCTTCTTCAGAGAAGCCAAACGTCTTCAAAGAAAAACAAGAAAGTCCAGTTGCCTCGTGAAAAAGCAACTTTCGGACAACTGCCACCCGGATGACTGAGAACCTCCATAGTGATCTAGCAGCAGAGCCTTCTCTTCACCCAGACAGGCCCCTCTCAGCAGGCCCGGGGCAAACTGGATGGAAACGCCAAGCAAAAAAGCGGCAGCTTTGCGCCGACTTAAGCAAGCGAATAACTAAAAGAAGTAAATGCGGACAACTCAGAGGAGTTTCATCCCCTTTGGCTGACTGAACGTTAAGAGTTTTTCCGGAAACTATCGGGTGGTTCGCTTTCACGCCCCTTTCTTGCCTTGCCTCGATCGTTCCCGCGGGTCAAATTGCCGTTGGGAGTTTGGAGAGGCCCGTGGGAACAGGATGAGGGGCAACAGAGTACTAGCCACGGGATCCAACATTTTGGCTATTCGGAGGCGAGCCTGTTATTTACTCATCCAACCGGGGCGGGGGAGAGCCAGATCGACCCCTAACGAGCCCAGAGAGCGATGGCGGGGCCTAGAGGCTGCTCCTCCGGCGCGGTGGGCTCTGGGACAGCCACGCAGCACTGGGAGCTTGGCGGCGTCGGCGGTTGAAGGCGCCGACAAAAGCGGGCCGCTCGGCGCCGGGGACCGAAGGGCCGCCGCCTGCCCTGAGGCCACGTTAAGAGTGGCTTTGAAAGGCGCGGGGGGAAATGGATACCGCAGAACAAAACGCTTCCGCCAATTGCCAATTCGCCGGGGAGGCGGGAAAAGAAAGGCGAACGCGGGGCGGAGGAAATTGGCCCTCGGATTGAAGCCTTTCCGGCGGGGGCAAAGGGCGCCTGAGGGCAGGCCGGGCGGACGCTCTACTGACCCAGATCGTCCTCCGCCGGCCTCCTCCTCCTCCTTTCAGGCCTCGGCGCTCGGGCCAGGCGGGAGCGGGGTTCAGGGCTCCTCTGGCCGCTCCCTTGAGGGGGGTCGAGGGAGAGGAAGAGGCGCAGAGCAAAGCCGCCTCCGCGGGGCCCTCGCGGGAGGCCTCGGAGAGCCCTTCTACGGGCAACCGGCCTGCCTCTGGCAAATAAAATTCCCTCGGCGGGCAGCGATTGGTCTCCCGACTTGTTCGCCCTTCGGGAGGAATTGACGCTTGCCGCCCGATCCCGCCCTTCCTTCGGGAGCGTCTCCCCCCCTCCCCCATCCGCCTCTCTTCTGGAGGAGGAAACTGCCGCGGTGGGGTCGCCTCGTCCTGAAGAGTTCTCTCGGCGTTCAAGTTTCACTTTTTTAGCCGGGTCGGGGCCGTTGCGCTTTGGGCTTTGCAGTCCGAGGTTTATAGGGGCTTCTTGAAAAGTCCCTAGGAAACCCCTCTCCGCACGGATTGGGGCCAAATGTTGCCTATAAAGGAAAAAGACTTTTCCAGGGCAGAGGAAGGCAGGGCGCTTAGGAGATGAAACCAAGCGGCGCGAAAGTATCCCGCGGAGAAAAGCAGCTGGGAATCGCGGCGGGCTGCGCATGGAGCAGCTGGGGTGGAGGAATCGAGAGGAGAGCTCTTGGGGGGACGAGCCTCCTGGGAGAGTATTAGGGTAGCGGGCGCGGTGCTCCCCACCCCCTTCCTTTGCTTCTCTACTTCGCCGCGAAACAGTTTTGTCGCCGCGGCACCGGAACGCTGCTCGCCATTAGCATTTCAAAGAGTCATCCAGATGTTTATTACAGTAAAAGAGGGCGAGTGCACAAGAGAGATCTCAATTATAAATCCTTGTATTTTTAAATACGAACTGTAAGCGATTCGAGTAGGTGCCTTTGCAAAAATTTTGACATGCTCGGGGAGGGAGGTTCAGTGAGAAGAAAACCAGGTCTGGAATTTTTCCCTGTCCCAAACCTGGATTTCAACCACAGTTTCTTTGCTCCTTGCTACTCTCTCAGCCTGCTTTTCTCTTTAGAAGGTAGCGGGAAAACTTGCCCGATAAAAAGATCTGCAGAAATTTGCACTCTTTGGCCCTGATCCTGAGCCTCCGAGGAAAATACTCAGTGACCTTCAGTTCCTAATCCATTAATATTTCCCAGACAGTCGCTTTGAAACAAGATGTCATAGACCCCATTAAAATTTGTTTCTTTAAAAATGAACTTGCGCCATCGAGAAAGCCCGCTGGAATTATCCATCAGTTCCTTGCAGTGCCTAAACTGTTTCTGATCTCGGCTCGTTTCGGTTCTTGCCCAACTTCGATTAGCGAGGTGGGTCGAATTCACGCCCCGGGAAACAGCAGCGAAAAAGTGTAAATCAAAAAGAAAGAGTTCCTATTTTAGAAAAGGTGAAAGGGTTTTCCCAACTGCCCAACTTTAATCTTTAAGCAGGGAGGCTTGGTCTCTGTCTATGGGATAAACAAGCCCTAAAGCTGGTTTCCAGATTCCCCCGTTTTATTATTTCAGCGAAGGCACCGTTTTGTACCAACGATGTACGTTTTTAATCTTAGGTAGATCTGGATTTGCCTTGGGAAGGAAGGAAGGAAGGAAGGAAGGAAGGAAGGAAGGAAGGAAGGAAGGAAGGAAGGAAGGAAGGAAGGAAGGAAGGAAGGTTATGAAGAACTGCTTTTCATAATTCCTACCCATAGCGATTAAAATTACATATTACCAACACATCACAAAGTCCGTAATGTGATCTGGTTTGGATGACGAGCCAAGTTTTCCCCTATCAACTTGTCGGCTGCTTTATTCTCTTAATTGTAAATGTTTTTGTCTAAATAAATATTGGTGTGTGAACCTTTACGGTCTGTACGTACGTTCTGGTGTAAAGGATGAAATTCTAAACGAAGTGCCCAAGAAATAAATACGATCGATTTCTGAATGGGTACGCGCGGGTTGCACTCTAAATATTTCCCTTACTATTAGGTTTGCTTTGTAAAGAAAATCAGCCACTGAAAGTAATGATTAATCCATTGATTCATTCAAAAACCTAAATCTCAACAATTTATTTCTTAAAATTAATAATGGGAAGATGTCTTGAATATTGCAATTAAGCTTGTAAGCAAAATATAATCGAAGTAAACAAGTTTCTACGTTTAGTCAATGCAGTCGAGATTTGTTCTACTGAATTACACGGGATAATCCTACCCGTTCCTTGTAGCATTCGGGGAGGGGGGGGGTCTTTTCCTTTTCATGGAAAAAGTGATTCAGTTCTTCTTGCCAGCTGCAGCAAGAAGGATGTCCAGGAAAGCCACCCAACTTGGTCCAACCTATACCAATCCCCTTCTCCTCCGCGATCCAGGCCGCATTTTGCCTTGGGCTGAAGCCAGAGGCTGCCCAGCCTCTGGCAAGAGCCAATCAGAGCGCGCCTTCCAGCACGTGGAGGAGAGGGAATCAAGAGCCAAGCGATTGCAGTGCAGTCACTACCCTGGTTCCTCGTGTCCTGGGCAGGAAGAGGGGCGAGCCTCAGCTGCTGCTTAGTGGGGGGAGGGGTACCAGCCCCGGCCAAACTTCAACCCCCGCACGGCCCGGGAGAGTACAAGCAAGCCAAAGCCATGAGCAGCCAATACCAAGAGGAGAGCTGCTCCGAGAGGCCCGAATGCAAAAGTAAATCGCCAACTTTGCTCTCCTCCTATTGCATCGACAGCATCCTGGGCAGGAGGAGCCCTTGCAAGATGCGGCTGCTAGGAGCAGCTCCTAATCTGCCGCCTCAGGCCAACCGGACGGAGCCGGACAAGGCCGGGCAAGGTGAGAAGGGGTTAAGATCGCGAGGAAAGGAGGGTGGCAACATAGCTTCGAAGAGATGAGAGGCAGACCCCTGCCTTGCCCGCAGTCCTGGATATCGACTGACCTCTTCCACTCCACCCTTGGCCCAGGGACTGCGTGGGGAGGGCGCGCTGCTAAGTAGCCGGGTCAGAAACTCGGGCGGTCCCAAGTTGAGCTGTCGGGCAGCTGAAGGCCGAACCGCTTTCCAAAGAACTCCGCTCCCCATGGATTCCGTTGTCTCAGTCACCCTCTCCGGTGCAACGGGCTGGATCCCGGCAGGGTTTACGCTACTCGGGGATAAAGGGGCGTGCGCGGGGGGGGGGGTTGGTTGCAAAACCGAGGGTCTCTTTTTCTGCGCTCCTCACTTTACGGGTTTGTGTGGGTGGCGTTATGGTGGCAAATATCAACCGCTGCCAAGAGTTCTGTGCGGGTATTTTCTCCAACTTGGCAGTCCCTTTGCCCCCCCCCCAGGCCTAGATTAAAAACGAAGCCCTCTGGGTGCCGGGGAGAGGGGAGCACCCTCCGGTTCAGTGTCCAAACCTTGTAGGAAATTGGATGTTCCGTTCTGATTTTCTTCATGAGGGGAGAGAGGAAGAGAATTCGGCTTCTTCTAAGCCACTTTCTCTCCGGTCTGGAGTTTCAGGTCGGTTTCAAAGGCGGGTCTGTCTTGCTACCTCCAAAGAAATGTGGAAATTAATTTGACAGAGCCCCGTAGGTGTCAGATGCCAGCTGGAGGAGAGAGACTCCCTTTACTTGATATTTGAAGGTAATAATGTTTGGAGTCAAAACGAGGTTGGGAGACGTTCTCCGGCAATGCTGTTTGCTGCAGCTGCTTTCAAATATAAGCTTGGTTCTACATTCTGCAAACCTGCCTGAAATCTGCAAACGAGCAAAACAGACTTTGTATGTTATTACAGAAAGGGGGAATTGCCTGGATTCTAACGGAATTCCTTCGGGCTCTATTGACTCACCCTAGACAGCTGGGGAGGAAGATGGGCGGGTTGGGATGACTCGCGCCGGGACTTTTTGCAGGAGGGGGCCCTCTCGCCAAGAAGCCCATCTGTAGCTACTGAACTGACGACCCGTGCATGCATGTCTCTGTCTCTGGCAGGACCAGGCAAGGGCAGCCCGCCCGGGTTCGAGACGGGCGAGCTGCATCTGCCGCCCAAGCTGCGCCGCCTCTATGGGCCTGGTGGGGGCCGACTGTTGGCGCGGGCCGAGGCAACCGCCTCGTCGTGGGACTCCCTCAAGATCAGCCAGGCGCCACAGGTCAGCATCAGTCGAAACAAGTCCTACCGGGAGAACGCGCCCTTCGCGCGGATCGCTCCTACCCTCGACGACTTGGGCAGTCCTGGAGGTGGCGGCGCCCCCGACGGCCGGTCGGGCCGAGGGGAGGAACTGCTGGAGGAGGACGAGGACGAGGAGGAGGAAGAGGAAGAGGAGGCCGAGGAGCTGGACGAGGAGCTGGACGAGGAGGACGAACTGCTGACAGAGGCCAAAGACGCCCGACGGAGCTCGGGGCCCGCGGGTGGGACTGGCGTGGGGCCTGCGGCGATGGGAAGCGAAGGTGCCGGCGGCTCGCCCAAGGAGGAGCTGCTGCTCCCTGCCGACGAGCTGGCCGACGGCAAGGATGGCGAGGACAGCGTGTGTCTGTCGGCGGGCAGTGATTCCGAGGAGGGGCTGCTCAAGAGGAAGCAACGCCGTTACCGCACCACCTTCACCAGCTACCAGCTGGAGGAGCTCGAGAGGGCCTTCCAGAAGACCCACTACCCCGACGTCTTCACCAGGTAGGGAATGAACTGCTGAGACAAGCTAGCCTCCGAGCGGCTCCAGAGTGGGAAGGGGTTTCTAGGTCAGGAGGGAACGTGGAAAGAACTCTTAGGGTTGAGGAAAGAGAGCTGCCGGATCAGGAAAGACGGGCCGATGGGGCAGAAAATCCTCTGGGGAGAAAGTTTTTAAAATATTTGTTTCGGTTTTTGCACCGACACGATCAGAAGGAGGAAACAGCTAGGCATAAAGAAAGGGTACTGCAGGGCTGGAAAGAGGGAAGAGATTTGGTAAGAAAAGGAGATGCGCGTCTTCTTGGATCTTCTTCGGGTCGTCCTCCACAAAACTCACTTTCGTGCCCCGCTTCGCTTCTCCCTTCCGCTATTCCCCTACTTTGGGAAGTCACCTTTCCCCAGATTCAGCGGCCTTTACGAGTTAGCGTGCCCGGCTCTCCGCTGGACTTCGGGCGTTAAGCTAGTCTGCCAAGGACAGGTGTGGCCGAATTTTTGGCCACCTCGTTGCCAAACTCCAATCTATTTTTGCCCTGATCCTCTGGCTAGTCTGTCGGGTGTCAGTTTCACAGTTTTCCGTTGAAGCTGGAAAGCTGCCCTCTCAATGGAAGTCACATACATACACATAGGGAAAGATCAAAGTGTTCCGCTTTGGAAGGCTAAAAATATGGAGCGAGGCGGCAGCGTTCGGCCAGAGCATTTTGGCAGAGTCTGCAAGGGCTGGCTTGCCTACTCGCGGACGGAAGTAATTTCTGGACGGGGTCTGGAAAACAGGAGATGGGGAAAAAATAGAGGGGGGGGGGACGGACGAGAAAGTGTTGCTATTCTTTCGATGCGCCTCAACTTAGAAAGGAAACTCCGGTCAAGCTGAGAACTAGCGGTCTTCTCCTGAAGCGCTGGGCGGAACTTTCGGTCCCAGCCTCCATGCAAAAGTAAAATGGCTTCCAGAACGTTTGCATCTTGAGAGGAAAAAACCTTCGCCTTTCCTTAGCTTCAGGTTTGCTTTGGGGTGAGCTTAATTCATCAGAAAACAAGCAATTCCTGTATTAGCCCTTCCGAAATGATAGCTATTTAATTAATAATATCAATCAATTAAGTATTCAGCCCTTTGTTTAGGAATTCCTTCCTTCCTTCCTTTTTGCAGGAGCCCAAATGCTCCCAGTCTATTGCCAACAGAGAAGCAAAAGTAGGCGCTGCTCGCCCAGCTCAGCCCCTTCCCTAAAAGCGTAGCGAAGGGGGGGGGAGATGTTGTTAACTGAGAAGTCGTGTCCGACCCATCGCGACCCCATGGACAACGTTCCTCCAGGTGTTCCTGTCCTCCACCATCTTCTGGAGTCCATTTAAGTTCACACCCACTGCTTCAGTGACTCCATCCAGCCATCTCATTCTCTGTCGTCCCCTTCTTCTATTGCCCTCAATCTTCCCCAGCATTAGGCTCTTCTCCAGTGGCCAAAGTACTTGAGTTTCAGCTTCAGGATCTGGCCTTCTAAAGAGCAGTCGGGGTTGATCTCTTCTAGGACCGACCGGTTTGAACGCCTTGCAGTTCAAGATACTCGTGCTGAACGGCCAAAGGCGTGGGATTCTTTGCCGGAGGAGCTCTTACTCTACCAAGTTCGTAGGCAATTTTCCCGGGTGCGAAGAAATTAATTCTCCATCTGAAAAGTCAGCAGTTTACTCGCTCTTCTCCTTTTTGTCAATTGTCTGGGATTCTTCCTCTACTTTTCTTCTCTTCTGAGGAAGAGAGGAAGAGGGAGAGAGGGGCGTCTCTTTAAATTCGTTAACCTGCCACAGCGCACATTATTTCCGCGGGAAGAGGGGCTGCGTTTGGATGATGGAAAGAAACCGAGGGATCCCCTTGCTTAAGGCGGTTTCTTCGCTAGCGTTTTATAGCCGCTTATTCTGTACCAGTCAGTCAAACTCGGTTGTGGCGCTACAATGCCCGTCTTCCTGACTGATACGCAAGCGACCTTTCCAGACTAGCCAGAACCCAGAAAATCGCCCCACCTTTTCACTGAAAAAGGGTCAGCGGAGCACACCAAGCGGCCTGGTTCCGGTGCCAAAACCGATGAACAGGGGGTGGTGTCGGTTTTTCCACTGACCCGGTCGCACGTCAGCGCACAAATGCGCCGGGTTCTTTAAATCGTTCCTACAGATCGGTCCGGTGGCTCCCTTTTTGGCAGCCCGAAGGCGCTAGCTATTTTTTTCTTCTCGAGCCCGGCCAGACTCCCACTTTGGCCGGCACTGTGCTTTTCTTCCGAGCGGAGGGAGAGCCAATTATCCCGGGAGTCGTCCGGATTCGAAGTAAACAGATTGTGAGCAGTTTCCTAACATCCTAATGGTTTCCGATTTGCTTTAATTGTTGCAATAATCACCCCAATGAAGGGCTCGCGTTGCAGCTCAATGGGTCTCCCCTGTGCTGCCGCGTGGTATTTGGAGGTGGGAGCCTTCGTCAAAGGCCTTGGCTGGAGATGCCAGAGGGGAGGTGGGCTCGGGCTTGGCTCCTCCTGGGGAACGCAGCCCTCTTTCGCACCTTCTTTCTCTGTGGAGAAAAGGGGAATAGTAAGAAAGTAAATTGAGCTTGGGGGGAAGCAACAGGTAAAGCCTGTCTGGGCCTGTTTGATACCAGCCAGCTAACGGTGAGGCTTAGGGTAAAGTATTTCGTTCTTTGATGCAGGAATGGGAGAAGCAGGATAGGCCAGGGAAACCTCAAAATGTGGGATATCCCACCACCACCAAAAGACTTCAAGGCAAAAAGCAGGGGGGTAGCCTGAGGTGGAGCTGGGCAGATGGGGTTAGCTTTGATCTGAGCAAGGGAGGAGGAGGAGAGGGCAGAATTGAACCTTGGCCTTATGCAGTTTCTACCTCATTCTCACCCCACTGGGTCTACCTGCTCCCAGGTTTTCACCTGAGCACCTGTCTTGTACTTTTTTCCCTCCCAGGGAAGAGCTGGCGATGCGTCTGGATCTGACTGAAGCCAGAGTGCAGGTGAGTGTGTGTGGGGGGGGGAGTTGGAAATTGAAGAACCAGGTATCAGTTGGGCAGGGCAGTGCTTCTCCAATATTTTTTCCAAGACAATGTTGAGGAGGTCTCCAACAAAGCTTCCTTTCTTTCCCCACGGCAATGAACACCTCCTGGCAATTTTTAGCCTCTCCCAAAATATTTCAAAGGGCAAGCCAGGCACATTGGTGCAAGAGCAAAGAGGACTCAGAAGAGAACAGGGGGTTCCCTTCTCAACCCCCACCCCAAAGAGATTGGGGTCAACTACTGTTCCTGTTTTCCTTTTGGGCTTGAGCATGCCATTTTATTCAAGTAGGTTGGGGGGGGGGTGCAGAGTTGCCTCTGCAACAGTGCAGAAGGCCAACCATACCTCCCAACAGATGGCTTGGCCTTTGGGCTCTGCGCTGAGCAAATCACTTTACACAGAAAGCCAAGTGCAGCAAAAGCATCATAAATTCCATATGGCTCATTTAATACACAACAGCTTCTCGCATTAGAGGAGTAATGAAGAGCCCAGTTCCCTCCTCTCTGTTGACACATTTCTCTATTGTCAAACAGAGATGTGACAGCAACTCAGGATTTTCAGCTCAGGGGAATGAGTCGTGGGAAAGTTAAATAACTAAAAAAAGAGCGTGAACAAGAGCCTGAGACCCCCCTTCCCCTCATCACCCATCTTTCTTTCTCACCCTCCCCTTCATTCTCATTCATGGGAGACGATGTAATTAAGGAGAATATGAATTATTAGAATCCCTTGGTTTACCTTTGAGTATACCCAGACTTATTAATTCAATAAGAGGCAGAATTTCCAGGGGAGGTGGACCTATTGCTAATTGAGTTGGAAACAGGAAAGGCGTACTGGGGGATGCCAAATTTTTCTTTGCCTTCTTTAATGTTCAATTCCTGGGCTGGCTGTGGTAGGGCTATAAAGAGGGCCTTCTTGGAGGTGATCAGAGCAAATGCAAGGAAGTCACAATTTTTGCCAGCTATAATGTTTTCCTTCTTTCTCTCTCTTTCCCAAATTCTTTTATTTGGTGGAGATGGAATCAAAATTCTTAGAGAGCAAATTCTCACCTTCTGTTCCTTTCATTGTTGTAATTGTTAATGTGATTGTGCGACTTAAGCTCTATTGTTTTAAAACAGGACAAAATATGCCAATGGCTGATATAAAGTAACATTAGTTACTTTATGGAAATTCATTCACCCAAGTTTTGGTTTAAAAAATGTAGGAACGACAAAGCTTTCTCTTTTGCTCTTTCTCAAGAAAGAACTAGACTAGAGGAAGGGCAGACCTGCAGAGATTGTTAATGAAACTGCAGATGAATAGCTGCAAAAGATTATTTACTATTATTAATTCTCTCAGGTATCAGAGTCTTTAACATATTTAACCTGCCACCTAAGTTACCAAAAGCATTCAAGAATTTGCCAAATCTTTGGCACTGAGAAAGGGGAGGATAGAGAAAGTTACATGTAAAGTTTTAAAGACATCAGGAAACATTAGGTATTGCTTATTGAATATTGTAGCATATGTTTTAGTAGTTTATACTTCCCATTCACTATCTCCAGTCATTGGCGATGCTACCAGGGGATGGATGGGAATGCAGATCTAGATCAGTCAGATCAGGCAGAAAAAGAAACTCCTCCAATAGAGAACTAGTAACAACGAGCCTATTTCTACTAAGAGAAATGTATTTTAAAAGGTCATTCCAATGGCTCAGCCTGCTTTAAAGGGACAGCTAAAGAACAGATATTAGCAAAACATAAATGATCAGAATAATTTATTGCTTAAATATCTCCAAGAGTTTCCTTGATACATGGAAGACAGGGGGAACGGGGCATATCTGCCAGTCAGGGCTAACAGTCTAAATCCTCCCGGAAAAATAAACGAAGAATTGCTGTATTATTAACGATATCATAAAAAGTAGTTCTGTCCAGTTGGATTTTTACTTTTGAATAGGAAAACTTGAGAATAAGTCAATGTATGCCTCCATCTGTTAAAATCTTTAATTTAGATGTCTGCACCACTGATTTGACAGGAAACCATGAACAATCTGCTCAATCTCTCTTAAATTTAGCTGACTTTCTACCGCTGCGAGCCTTTGTTTTGGATTTAGGCAGAGTGAAAGAGCTTTGATCCATTCAGCCCTGCAGCCTTGGCTTACTTCTCTTGGTAGCTAAGAGGACCAATTTGCTTTGCTTCCTTCTAGAGAACAGACGAGAGACCCACATAGTCTGTCTATTAGACAGATTTCACAGCTGCTTCTAGGCGATGGAGGCGTCTTTCTTTTTAACCTCTGCCGGAAAAGTAGAAACGCGCTAAATGACTCGGGTGGCTTTCTAGATGAAACCACCCGGCCAAGCTTTGCGGCTGAATCCCCTCTTCCCCTGCTAGACGGGTCTGGCGAGGTTAGGAGCCGGTCTCTTGTCAGCTCTCCTCCGCAACGCCTCAGGGCGGCCCGGAGGCGGGTGACCGGGCTTCTGAAGATCGTTTGCTGGCCGCCGAGGAACAGGAGCGGAAAGGGCCGCGCTTACTAATCGCCTTGCCCTTGTTTTCTTTTGGCTTCCAGGTCTGGTTCCAGAACCGGAGAGCCAAATGGCGGAAGAGGGAAAAGGCCGGCGCTCAGAGCCACCCACCCGGCCTGCCTTTCCCTGGCCCGCTGTCGGCATCTCATCCGCTCAGTCCCTACCTTGATGCTAGTCCTTTCCCTCCTCATCACCCAGCTCTCGACTCCGCCTGGACGGCCGCCGCCGCCGCCGCCGCTGCCGCCGCCGCCTTTCCCAGCCTCCCGCCTCCACCGCCGGGCTCTGCAGCCTTGCCCCCCAGCAGCACCCCGCTAGGCCTCAGCACTTTCCTGGGAGCGGCTGTATTTCGGCACCCGGCCTTCATCAGCCCGGCTTTTGGCAGGTAAACTCCCCCCCCCCGCCCCTCAACTGGTCAGCGGCGGGCCGCAGAAGAGGTGCTGAACTTGTCCTGCCGCACAATGGTAAAGTGGGGAGGGGGGAGTTCCTCGAAGTACGCATGTGCCGCGTAGATCCAGAAGCACCCATTTCTGAAGTCAAAGGGGCGGAGCTAGGTGCAAGTTGGTTCTTGGGGAAGATGGTGGAACCCTTTCGTCTAAGGCAGGGGTAGGCAGCCTTGGCTCTTGTATGACTCGTGGACTTCAACTCCCAGAATTCCCGAGCCAGCAGGAATTCTGGGAGTTGAAGTCTACGAGTCATACAAGAGCCAAGGTTGCCTACCCCTGGTCTAAGGATTTGGAACACGGACTTTAAAAATTTTTTTCCAAGAATTCTCATTGCCAAGATTATTATTGTTCATGAAAGTTGAGGGGGGGGGAGCGATAGACGTACTCTTTTCAACCTCCCAGATTTGCTGCCCAGCCCTGGCTGCGAATACTCAGAAATTTAAGTTCTCTGTGTATCCAATATAGGCTTGGCTGCGGTAAGAATGGTGGTCCAACCTGTTCACCTCAAGTAGCTAAAGAATTCCATTTGGGAGGCTGTAAGAGTTCAGCCTGGACACTCCTGTTTTTAAAATTATGGATTTGAAAAAGAAAAAAAAACTTGAGGGAATCACGTCTCATTTTCTCTATTCTAATTGGGCAGAGCAATTTAAAAAAGCTTTGGCAAGCGCCTTTCGACGATTTAAGTTTAAACGTATCTGTTAGAAGTTGCGCATCCCCCCTCCCCCAATGATCCGAGAGTTGGTAATTATTTCCCTATAACAAGAATATATTTTACTTCAAATGTTGACAGAAAGAATTGCGATATACATTGACCTAAAGTGGGGGGAGGGAAATCATAGGTGGGCCATATGTAATTAAACTCAGTGCAACGGAAAACTCAGTGTGTTCGGGAGAGGCGGCCAAGTTCTCTCGCTTGGAGGGCAGTCATCTGAATAGAAAAATGCAAATCAGGCAGGGGGAGGGAGGGAGGGGGAGATACTGTAGTTGCATTTCCTTGGATAAATTCAAACAATGAAATAAAAAGCCTGTAGCTAATTAAATAGACAACGAGACAGTGCCGGGTTTATTAAAACTGGAAAGATGAAAATACAAGGGGAAATATTAACAGGAGAACAAAAGGAAAATATATTCATTGGGGTACGACGCCACTTAAAACAAAATTATCTCTTGCAGGAGGAATGGAAATCCAAGTTAAATTAAGATTTTAAGGGGCGGGGAATGTCTACCAATGAAAATGAAAATGTTTCTGCTTCCCCTCCACAAGTAGAGTGACTCGATTTCCCAAACGTTACTGGATTACTACGCCCCCTACCGATCACGCTGTTCCTGCGCTTTAATGCTTTTCTTTAAACCCTTTTAAGTAGCCAGGTGTTGCAGCTCGCTCCCTCCCGCCAAAAACATTGAAAAGTCGCTGAACAGACTTTAATGGGCCGCCTTGCAAGTGAAGGAGCAGGGTGGGTGCAGGGAGAGAAAAACTCTCGTCCTCTTGGGGGAGATTTCCCTTTGCTCTTAACAAGCAACGTTTTTAGGAGGCGTGCAGGCGATTTGAAGCGGCTTCGGTTTTTATCTGCTACATTTATTAGAGTCCCCAGAGCTGCGGGACTAAAACTTCCAGTATTTCCAACTACGAGGGTTTCCACCCTTTTGCAAACGAAAGGCTACAGAAGTCTAGCCTAGTCGAGGCCAGGGCGGCCATTCTGAGTGGAACTGTACAGAGCCTCTCACTGAGCACGGCGGGTGGGCTGGGGACAGAGAAGCCACTCCAGAAGGAAACCAGGCGCCAGCCCCGGCTGCCCGTCCCAGAGCCTAGCCAGTCTGGATCTTAGTTGGTCCCTCCCGTTGCCTTCCGGGCCCGCAGTTCAATTCCTCGCCGCGCTGATGTCAGTAATCACCTCCTTGGTTAATGGAGAGCCCGTGTCTCTCGACTTGCCGGTCAAAGAGGGTCAGCTAAACAGCGCCGGGAGAAGCGCGGGCGAAAAAAGGAGCAGAGAAAGCATGTCGCAGATTGTGTCATTGCTAGGGGTTGCCGGAGCGTAATTGGAGTTCCGCTGTGAGGCAATCCGCTAGAACGGCACTCCCCGCTGGGGAGGGGGATCTGCGCGGCAGCGAAGCCGAGAGGCCGGCGCCGCTTTGGGCATCCGGGCGCCGGGAAGTTTTTCATAAGACGGGAGGGGGGGAGCCACAGACCGACACCCGGACTGAGCGGGCGAGCGCAGGTTCGGCAGACCCGCTAAGGACTATCGAAAGCCACCCTAGTCGTAGGTTGGAGGGAACGGGCGAGAAGTGCCGAGGCAGCCGACGCCTGCCTCCTTGCCTGGCCTCGCTCTCCGCGCAAGCCAGTTTCGACCGATTGCTAGTTTCTTGAAGCGAGCTACTGTCATCAACACATGGGCGACCCACCAACCAATAGACGCGACTCTGCCAGCCTGCCTGCAACGGGGTTTTCAATCTTCCTCTTTCTTGAGCCCCCTCCCACAACTTTCGGGTTCAGAAGGGCCCGCGAAAGATGCCCCGTCAAAAGCGCGCAGAGGTGTAGGCAGGCGAGGCTCCCTAAGTAGGGGAAATACGGAATTCAGGTTCCGGAGGAGGCGAGAAAGCGGACGCAAAAAGAGACTTCCTCGCTCTCCTGCGATTTCCTAGTCAGGCTCCTCCAATTCGTGGTTGGCAAGTCGTCGCCTTCCCGACTTTTGTTGCTTTGAAAAGCGGTCTGTCCTGCAAAGCGAATAAACCGAAACCGAAATGGCAGCCCCGCTCTCGCCGCCATAAAAGCAACCGCAGGAGTTTCGGCTACCTTAAGACTGACTGTCCCGCGTCTCCTTTGCTTGCAGGCTCTTTTCCACCATGGCCCCGCTGACTAGTGCTTCCACTGCGGCTGCCCTGCTGCGACAGCCAGCCCCCGCCGTGGACAACGCCGTGCAATCGAGCGGCCTCTCTGACCCGGCCTCCGCGGCAGCGGACCGGCGCGCCTCCAGCATTGCGGCGCTGCGCCTGAAAGCCAAGGAGCACGCGGCGCAGCTCACGCAACTCAACATCCTCCCCGGGAACAGCGCGGGCAAAGAGGTGTGCTAAGCCGCTCCCGGGGGGTTGGTGGGCGAATCGGCCGAGGCAGGAATCCAAGACCAAAACGGGAGGGAAGCCAGCGGACACACGCTTTCTGGAGGGGAACGGGCGGCGGGGAGGCGCCACTTCTGCGGCTTCCCTTGGGCCAATCCGCAGGAGCCCACTCGTCCTCGGCCGGCAGTTTTTTCCTTGCTACATCGGCCACTTGGTCAGCAAAGCACCTGCCCGAGTTGCGGGAGGCTGGAGAGAAGACCGGGAGGTCGGTGAGGTTGCTAAAAAAACGAAGGGCCGCGGAGGCCAAGCTGCGCTCTTCGCCTGGGCTGTTGTCACCGGCCCGGGAAAGGACCGTCAACCGCAGATGCTTGCTGACAGGGCCAAGGCATGGTCAAAGCCAAGTAGAGCACTTGGGGAGGGGCGGGTTCACCGATCACATCAACCAAGGGTTTTATAGCAAACCAAAGGGAAATATAACGCTAGCATATGGACTGTTTAAAAGTCACTATACTGTGATGCTCGATACTGTACATACCATTGTTATTAAAAAAATACGAAAAAAAGTTCAGAGCTTTGTATATTTGAAATGTTATATATTAATTGCACTCAGTGTAGTGTTTGTACAAGTTTGTCATTTTTGTAGATTTCTGTGTTGTAGATATTATGGGGGGCCCTAGACAAATATTTATGTGCAAACTCTTTAACTTATTAATTGTAGAGTTTCCCCAAACCCCGGGAGAGAGAATGCCAACAAGCCAGAGAAAGGCCATCGGAAACGTACGTTTGTGTAATGTTGTTATCGCTCTCACTTTTCCTTGCGATCAAGTGGGAAAATGTTACCCATAGAAAATAAATATATCTCTCTATATCCACACGTTTATCAATAATTCAAAAAGCTACCTGGAAGTTCAATGTCATGGAAAACAACCATGCTAATAACAGGGAGGGGGGGGGTGTATAAGCAGATGCTAAGGATTTAACTCCTTTACAGAATGTGGGGGAAAGACGGACTTTTCATAAATGTTCCAGCTGATAAATAGAAAAAGGCTTTGCCAAATTTCCCAACAAAAATTCTCAGATTTGGCTTTGCTTAGTCTAGAATCCCCACCCACCTTCCAAACGGCTGGCTAGGAATTCTGGAAATTGTAGTGGCAGAATAACTGGAAGATATAAAAGAGGGAAAGTAGGTCCTGAACTATGGAGTGGATGTAAAAGGATATGGCCCAATCCTGCTCATGTCTGCTCAAAGGAAAGTCCCACTGAGATTTTTGGAAAGTGGGTGTAAGAACGAGGCCTAGGCAGGATCCTTAAAATAGTTAACATCAATAGGAGTAGCTTACAGAGCACCGGCCGTCTCAAGTGCACTTCCTGGGGAGTAAAACCAACCCAACACAGTAAGAATTATTCCCAAATCAACATCTTGGCTGTTCTAACAAGGAACATTTACTCCAACCTTTTCAATGGGCGCATTTTTCTTCCGCTTTAAATGTGAGCAAATGTGGTATGCACGGGCCTCCCCCCTCCCCTTTCTTTCCTTCTTTCGGCCGAAAATGTCTGTCCTCACAAGGGTGACTTTGGGAGGAACCTGGAAGGCTTCTGCTTAGCGGCCTCCGAGCGGGCTTGTAGGTCAGGTCGCGGGAGAACGGCCTCTCCCGAGAGGCCGGGACCAGCCGTGCACCAGCCCGCAACTGTGGGGAATGGGGAGTCGAAGGTGTCTTGGAGCCCGCTCGGAGCTCTGACACACACCCGCCTGCAGGCTGGGTGGGGTATGAAACCGAGGGACTGTCAGAGGCTGCTGGGCTTCGTGGCCGTTCCTCCCGCCTGGAAATTTGGCGGGACTTTTCAGGGCCGAGTGCAGAGGAACGAAACTGAGACTTGCCACACATCGAGGTTTTTCTTTCCTTAATCCCAGAGGCGGGAAGAAAGATGGCGCTATTCTGCCCCAGCTATTACCGCTCCAGTGACAAGGACGGCAGATGCTGCCTGTGTACCTCCTCTCCCTTTCCGGAGCCGGACCTTAGCCTCCTTCCTCCCCCAGCCCGATCTCTCCCTTTTCCAAGCCATTTGACCCTGCCATGGAGCTGAAGCAAATCGCGTGAAATTACCTCCAAGGATTACATCGCCTTCCCATTGAAAAGCCCCTGAGCCCCTAGTTTACCAACCTCCTAATCCCATGTCACTCGGCTGCTGCAAACAACTCCCCAGTGAAAGGCCCCCTATTCTTCCGCAGCTGGAGGGGCCCTTTACCGTCGGCCGTGGAGGACCGAGCTTGCCCTTGCGCGCGCGCTTCAAAAAGGAACTTCGGTCTTCCCCAGATTAGAAGAGGGGCCTGGCTGCCACGCCTGACAAGCCCTCAAAGCCGCCACCGAAACCCACGACCTTTCCCTTTCCTGGCTCGGTGGCGGCGGGGAACACCTATCGGGCCCTTGCGAGAGCACACCAGGCTTTTCAGGCTTGAATGGGGCTCTGGCAAGGTAGGAAGGTAAAACAAGGCCTTCCATAAATCCCACAGAATGCTTCCCAGGAAGTTTCACAAAGCTGAGCTCTTTTTCTTTTTCTACAACAGTTTCCTCCTCCTCCCCTTGTAGCCTTCTGTATCTCCAAGGGCTGTGTTTTCTGAGTAAGCTCAATGGCGAAAAATGAAAATACCATTTCACTTTGGGAAATTCACCAGAAACGACTGAAGCCAACTTCTCCTGAATTGCTTCCTTCTAAATTGATGCCATGTATGGATAAGAAATGGTTGTACAGTACAGCACCTTTCATGTATATATTCCCATTGCCATCTCCACCCAACATACACATACATACTAGGTCAGCTAATAGGAATGAAAGAAATTGATCACAATACACCAGCATTGCAATAACCTAAAGCAGGCCATGGCTTGCCCATAAAGACTTTTGGTAATGTTGCAAAGAGAATTTAAGAAAAGGCTTCACTGTGGTCTCTATAGCGAGAATGGCAAATTTTCCTTCCCTGGATATTTCTCTTCTCAGAATGTGAATTCACATATACACCCAGTGGGCTCTTCAGTGTGTTTGTTTTTATGAACAAATTGCAATTCTTCTAAATAACCATAAATTTAACTGACACCATCTTATACACATATGCATTTGGGAGTATATATATTTAAAAACGCCATAGGTACAAAAATATTTTTATAGAAAAAAGAACATTTGCCTCTGGACATGATTAACAGTAGAGTTTGAAGTGCATATTTTACTTTAAAGAAAAGGGAATCATTATCAATCCATTATGCATTAAGAAATGTCACTCAGTCATTTTTATTCATTCCACAGAAATCATTGTAAAAGCCAGAATCATACTTCTGCAGGCAGCAATTTTGTTAATCCAGGGGGGTTATTACTCTGGTCCCTTATTAGGATCTATACTACTGCCAAGCAATCCTATAACCATCTCAAAAGAAGTTTACCTTCATGTTATAAAACCAGTAGTGGTATTTATACTGTGCAATAATTAGTGTATTACTTGAATCCACTAACAGGTTCATTTTATCTCTGCACAAAACCTCTAGCCTGCTTATAGAAAGCTTGTGCCTCCTTTGGTGCTGTTAAAGTGGTGAAAGAGTGAATGAAGGCTGGTAGCACTTTCTCTTTTTGCCTTGCCTTAATTCCCATCTCTTTTTGCTCTCATCCAATTAGTGCAGTGTATTAAGCAGTTTATCATCTCATAGTCAGCTATTGAGAGAAACAAGGCGAACACTTTGCAATAGAGCCTGCTCTCCTTTGACACCCTCAGGTACTTACATATTCCACTGTGCTATGAATAATAGAGGAAGAATAGAGCACTAATTCCCTCATCAAAGAATGCCTTGTCTGCTGCTTTGCTCAACAACACCATTCTGATCAAAAGAAAAGCAATAAAGCTTAGCATAACAAAACGAAACCTACTTATTAGCTTAGTGGTTAAATTAATGCAGAGCCGCTGCTATTCAAAACCAAGGTTTGAAAACAGCCTCCAACAACCTGATAATGCTGCCTTCAGGATGAAGGAATTTTAATCTGAAATTTGAAGCTGGCACAGATGAGTTAATCTATTAAACAGCCATAAGAGGAGTGCAGGATGAGCGGTTCAATTAAGAAATATTTAGGTGGTCAACAGAAGAGAGGCAAAGGAGGCAAGATGAAAAATAGGCTGAAGTTGGGAAATAGAAACGTAATTTTTATCCAGTAAGAAATAATTCTGGCACAAGATGAAACAATTCATCCGGTTTCTTTCTTTAATAAATACTGTGAAGTCTGGCTTCTGAGTTTATGTATCAAAACCTCCTTCCCTATCCATCAACCTAACTTTGTTGTCTATTTTTAATTACACACAGAAAAGGGGGAAAAGGGAGAGTAACTCAGCCCAGATTTCTGTGATGAATTCAGTCTTGTTTTTGGTTTTGCAGTTCTACAATACAATGAATTTAATATGCAAATAAAGATTGATGTACACAAAGAAAGGTGGCTTTGCACTTCTCAGTTTTTCCATTGTTAAAATAAGGTGAAACAGTCAAAGTAGGCTGTGTAGTCAGCAAGGGTCATATCAGTAGCCGATTCAGGTGACTAAACATTTAGACATTTACTTCTAATGAAGCATTAATCAAGACAGCTTTTTTTTATTTTATGATGCAAAAATATCTTCTCTAGCAATTAAGAAGAAATGAAAAATTCATTATGAAATTTATATTTATAAAATTTACATTTGTAGAAGTAAAATGTTTGCTCAAATTTTCTGCAGAATTCCACATAACAATGTATGTGAAATTATAGTCTTGCTGAGATTAGGTCACATGTTTGTCTACACAAACACATTCATTATTTTTCATTTCCTCATATTTTACAAATAAATATTTTGAATATGGGCTATATCAAAACCTATGCAGTGTTTGTAAATACAGTATGTTATTCTAATTTAGGAGGAAAATATGCTTTTATCCCTCAAAGTCTGAACTATTTTAATTGGGCTGCTGATTATAGTAGTAATAGGTACTACTAATAAAGAATGGCCATCTATATGATAATCTTCTTTAACCAAGACTAAAATCATTTATTGGAAAAACAGAAAAGTAAAATTCCTCAATCCAGAGCTGTTTACAAAGACATTTCTCTCTACAACAATGCAAGGATGGGCTGAGCTACTCTAGCCAAACTAATGCACTCCTCCTTTGTAGAGGAATTCTATTGGCACATTGCAACTCACTCTTCAGCAAGGCAAGATAAATCAAAGCAAACATTTCACCTGATGCCTATCATTTGTATTAATGAAAGCTGAAATAGATGGGGCATCTCTACCATTTTTGTTTATTCCTCTGTCAGTACAAACAGACAAGAAATGGGGGATATAAAGTACAAATGGCTTGTCCACCCATATTATTATTCTGTTTCACGGATATATTTCATATGAATGCACCATTCAAATATTTATACCAATTATTTTATTATATTTCCTTCAACTCTGTAAATGTTTACATCCACATTTAAAATGCTTTTACATATACTAATAAATGTTACTACCCTCATAGAAATTAAGAAATATATCTATATAA